TCATCTCCAGTGAATGGTGAGCACACATATCGCAACGCCGCGGCTATACAGGCTAGAGCCGGTTTAACTGATAGAACAATTATCATCACATTGACTGCGTGGCTTTTTATATCGATAAGCGTTAATTCGAGAACTGTCTGGAGTTACCCATGATGTCAATAGTATTGACTCGATACACGCTATCCTGGTACGTATCGGATGGAATCTCAACATCGTTGTATGCCAAGATTTTGATCCAAGAACTGACACAACACAACACCACAATAAAAGTCTGCGAATGTACGGAAGAAATTGAAGAGAGAAAGCTTTCCCGAAAGGGGACCAAGAGTGAAGCCGATCCTCGACCTGGGATCAGCTACACGAATGATCAATGTACGGATGAATCGGACCTATGCTGCGTTCATCGTATTCTGAACGGGGGCTGCTGCTGAAGCTGGAGTTGAACTCTGAGTGGCCCCTCCAAACGCCTGGTCATGCGTGCTAGTTTCAGGTTGATTCCCACTGCTCGTGGCATTACCAACTGCTCGTCGTACCTAGTCAATACGACTCGTGAGTCTCAACCCAATCCAAGCGTCGATGACTCACATCGTTCTCGACATCATCCATAGTTACGCCGAGCTGATTGAACTCCTGTGCTGCAGAACAAGGCCGGCAGCCCAGAAGGCAATAATCTTCGATTATGGTGCCTAAAGTGTTTCTGAGCACCATACTTCATCAGTCAACCAGCTGCTTACCTTCAACACCGTACTCGCCCCTGACTTGTTGCCGCGCCGCTATGTTATGACTGCAGTCCGCAAAACATGGGCAAAAGCAGTTCATCAGACATGACGGGATAAAGTCACCGGTACTCGTCTTTTGAGTTAGCATACCGCGAGCACACGGCAAACAGAAGAAGGAGCCCTAAAGATTAATCGTGATAAGAAGCACCCCAAATTTGATGGACTGAATCGACAAGCGGTTCAATCACCAAAAGTAGATAATCAAAGCATTAAGATTAAGTTTAACTTTTATTTCATACTTACCAATGCCATCACTGGATCTTTGCACCAGTCAGTGAACATGCCGAATTTCCAATTGGATCGCTCTCCATCGGCAGCATGATAGAGATCCTTGAATGTGGGAACAAATCCCTTATTGGACATAATCAAATAAATCAAATATAGATAACTTTCATTTGCCAAGCATCACAATGTGCCCCAACGTGTAGATGCTCAGCGTCAGCGCTTATTCCCTGCTGACTGTGTTCTCGAGTCAAAGATCGACTTGTTACAGAATATGATCGCTAAGCTTCACGTTACATATCTCAATACTCAAAATTCAATGGCAACGATGAACATTTAAGTGTTGTGGAAGTTGTGAGTCATACCGTGTGAGCTAGAGACATATCCATGAAGGCTAGCGATTACGCTAAGCCGTAGAGGCTAGGATATTCTGGGTAGTTGCTGAATCAAGCAGATATATTCTTCGGCGAACTTGAGTCCGCGACAACTTCATAACTCTAGGAACTCTTCTGACGGATGTCTCCTGAAAGCCGCAAAGAAACAGCCAAAAATACCGGTCCCGGTTCCAGCCCCTTAACTTCTCCGGTCGTCCCTACTACTTTTCGCTCGCCCCTAAATCCGTGAAATATCAAGAGTACTGATTAAATTAATTCATCACTCGGAGAGGGGGAAACGGGAGAAGGGTCGCCACTAGATGGTCGCCCCTCTTGTGCCGGCGTCCCCATCCGTTTCCCCGCTCCCCCCCTTTTGCCTCCCTATTTTACTCTCATCGTGGGTCAGGGGACTCCAGAATTTTGAGGTACCGGCCCCCACTTCAGATTGGGACGCGTTTGAGTCACCTGTGATCAGAAAAGGCTTTTGAGTAAGCTTAGGGGATCGTGGCATCATCGAGCGTGGATTATCTAAAGCTCGAACAAAACCACGGAATTGGCAGTGGGAATTTGGCCAATTTAGCACCACTAAGCGCCAGTCGTTCCTTTCTCTCGGTGTCACCGAGGCTTCGAAGATATCCAAAGATTGTTTGACAATCATCCAAACGGGTTTGTAGGAATACTTATCAAATGGTCAACGAGCTTTTATGCGACTTCGCAACTCCACTCTCCTCAAGATTATTCTCAGCCACTTCGCTCCCATCAAGCCCAGTTGAGCGCTGCTCCGATTGTAACCTTGGATAAGGAGCAGAGCAGCGCTCATTTATACTCAATAATATTTAGTCAATATAAAGGCTAACAACCTACATATTAGTAACTCACTAAAAGTGAGTTGTGCTATCCCCGTCATCAGGCCGGATTATCCACAAGCACGTTGGTGATGAAGAATTCGAAGCTATAATACTTGTTTGTTGAAAACCTGAAGATCTATCCTTCGATCTCGGAGAAAATTTATCCTAGCAATGGAAAAGAAACCTCCACCTATCTTATTTATTCAGCGAGCCCTAATGATAGGATGACCGGGAAGCTATATCTCCGGCATCTTTTTGCTACTTCGGTTCGTACATAGATCAACGTGAACAGCACTCCGCTGGATTCGTCACTCCTATCGCAGGGAAAAGCTCAGTGTAATGCTTGGTCATTGAGGGAATTTAATGCGGAACGCTGCTAGTTGCCACAGAGTTCGCTTTCAGCCAGTCCCGGCATGATCGATGTGTATCTTCAGCCATACACTTGTAGGGTCATAGTGTGTCAGCACATGAGGACCCGGGCGCCAGACGACTTCTGCGGTAATACCTTCATTCTGAATCCCCATTTGATGATCGTGGCGTCACGTCACATTCTGTTCGTTACGCTTCTACTAAAACGGCAGTCTATGAAAGAGGCTACTTTGGCTCATACCTTAGTCGTCGAAGCAAGCTCTAGAATGGTGATGGCTGGTGGAAATGGAACTCGGCAGAGCCTCTAAGGCGACTTGTTGGGAATACCTACTGCTACTCGAACTCGGTCCTTGATAATGACCATTCGATATCACTGTTTTACTTCGGTCGTAACACTTTGGTCGTTCGGTCCCTCTATCGTTCGGTTTAGAGTCGCTGCAGGCGGGATAATGTCACTCACATTGGACTGTCAGTTGAGTATTTGTCTCCAGCTCGGTGAAGTTGAGGTCCTCAATGAGAACTCCTCATGCGAATGCGTCCTCATTTTCACGATGATGAACCATACTCAGAGGCAGCTTCCACTCAAATTGGACTTGTACTTGCCACCTCGCATGGCGTCGCGAGTAGGCGGCCGAGTGTCTGCAGCTCTAACAGCTGAGCTCATGTTGAGTGCTTATTCATTTTTGTGGAGCCGTCGCGTATGGTGTCCATACTATAATTGTAGTCCTGATATTATTTCAGCGGATTACACTGGAAAATAAGTTCTGTGATGTGTAAGGCAGTGGAACGGATACCTCTGTGGTGAAGAAAGGTTGCTCGAGCACGTTCAGTCCATTACTACAAGTGTAGAGCAAGCCAAGTGCTGCAGTGACAATCTCTAACTGTGTCACGTCCAAAACCATTAGGCGGCGTAATACGATAGGGTCGTATTGAGAAACGGCTAGATCGCTCCGGGTCGGGGGACTGAGCCCATTAGGACACATGGAAGATGTGCCTACAGACAAGTCTGTGGTTGACCATCTGTCTTGTCTCGTATTGGTTGCGCAAGCTTTTGGTGCTCTCTTTTCGGAAAGCTTGTGTTTCGAGCCGAGATTAACTGCAGCGAAAAAAAAGGCACCACGGGCAGCTGAGGTCGATAAATCTCGCAGTGATCAGTTTCGAGCGGAATGGCGATGAATGAGAATGACTTGTACGGTACCAGACATCTCCAAACGGAAAACGGTTGTGCCAGGAGAATTCTTACAGAAAGCCAAGTTGGAAGCTGAATGTCAAGGCTGTATGTGTCTAGCATGCAGACTCTGCGTGTTAGACAATGCGACTTCGGTGTTTGGTGCTGGGCAGCTTGATGTTATCCCAAGGCTACGCTGCTCAGTCTCAACTAATACTCCCAGTGGGCGTAGGTAACATGGAACCTAAGGATGATTGAACTCTCAGAGCCGCGATGGGAGCTGATATAGCAATAAGCTTGAAGCGACGCGCCTGCAGAGGATTACTAAGTATCCGTCTCCGAGACGGCGTCTCGTCTCGAGTGCTTTGGATGCGCTGCTTCTGCTAGTTCTAGCGGTAAAAATCCTTTCTCATAGTGGTATAGAAAACTATCAGTGAAAAAGATAGAAGCGGGGTCGATTGAGACTGAGTGTGTGGTTCTGGTGAATTCGACAATGAGTGAATGTTGAGAATTCGGAGGATCAACATAGGGACCTGCTGCTGTATTTCATTGAACAGTTCTCCATGTTACCCTATCTCACACTTGTGTTGCTGCTGGGCACAGTGGATGTCCGTTCGAGTAGAGTGGACAAGCTCGGTCGTGTTGTCGATGTGAAGGTAAGCTGCTCAGCCCTGACGATAGATTACGGCCTCATGAGTGCATAGTCGTTGGATGTCGCCACTGTCTCGATTTTTGTGAGAACACGCTGACTCTCACTGTGAGAGTCTCACAGCTTATGCGAAGACTACTACTTCCAATTTAGACTCATGGTAAGGACAACTCACGGCGAGATCAGCCGCAACCGACGGAGCCCGCTCGTGTTATTCACCTCGCTAATGCTATTAATCGAGATGGTCTGACTGATGATGAAGGAATCCAGCAAGTGCTGAGCTGCTCCCTATCATTTACCCGTCTCACAAAATTCTTCAGTGTGATATATATCTCAATGATGGTCGAGAAGCAAAATTTGTGAGCCGCCAACTGACGTGTCCGAGGTGAGCGACTAATTCTTGGGAAGGGGGATATATTATCTATCCAGGTACGGAATTATGTACGATGTTGTTCTCCGTGACCAGCTCAACAAGCGCCAATTTGAGTCTTCTTCCAATGCAGAAAAACCGGGCGAAAAGGACGACCAGACAGACGGAGTCCCCACCCTGCAGTCGCTGAATTTGGAAAGGATCATCGGTCTGGCCCCATGGGAAGCGCAAATGCTCCGAGCTAAGGCGAAGCTTGATAAGAGTAAACTGCCTCTTCCTTACCCGTCTGACATGGACGTTGATGCGGAACTCGAGAAGGACACTTACGACTGCGAAGCTTTCCAGTCCTGGCGACTGAAAAGCCGTACTACCCGCGGGAAACAAGTGGGAATATGCCGCAACCCATTCAGCTCTTCCCATTATGCATGGTTGTAGGTGACATGGAGCGTATGGATAAGGTTGGAGGCTCCTGTGCTCGAGGAAGGATTCAGAATGAGTAGAATATCCACTACCATTTCTGAGGATATTCCGTAAGAGAGTCCATTCGTAAGAGAATCCGATGGTCTCTCTCTGTTCAGAGGCTTGGACCTGCATTTCAGCATGTCTCGGCTCGGAGAATTGGAGGATAACGCAGAACGCTTCCTTCCGAACATGACGCAGTATCCGAATGACCTGGATCGTAGTCATCTTTGCTCCAGACAATTGAATCGCTACCTTTTCTACATCCTTGGGAAGAATAATGACGGTGGCTCTACTTCCCTTCTGAACGAGAAAATATGGAAGCCAATCCTTTGGCGGATAGTCATGTGGCTTTTCGCTGGCAAGACTGATCCCAAGATTAAGGATTATTTTGAACCAACTGAATGCCTATATTACAGAGTAACCAGCCCAAAAAGCTCATATCCTCCTTATCCACTTCTCGGCGCATGCCCGAGGGGTGCTGAGTGGATTTTATATTAGTCATCTGTTTTTAATGTGAGCTGTGAATCATCAAGCGGCTTGATTCAAGTCGGCACCGTCCCATGTACTGACTCTATAGATGGCACGATGCCGAGTATAGTGTACAGTATGGAGATGTTCAGTGTCATTCATATACTAAACGAGAGATAGTGTCGTGTTATCGAGCTCGGGATCTAGATATGAAGGTGCCTTGAAGACTCTAGAAAGCACAATCTTCGTCCTAACGTCGCCGCTGCCAGTCGGGTCGTCTTCAGAAAAATGGTGTTTCGGGACAATTGAGAGGTTTCCGAACTCCAGGCATACTTCAGAGTAGATACAGATGGCTTCACATTGTGAAGCCGCCTGTGGAGTTCACAAGCTTTCGCGGGCTACACGACGTCTGTTGCTGGACGCGACACTTGTCCCAGCGTATAGGCTGGTGAACCTGTAGTGGCTAATTTGCGTGTCCCGACAGCGACTCGATAACGTCACTTCTCCCGTTGGTGGGTCGGAAGTTGTGTTACGCTCCAGACTGGAGCCTCCAGTGTTCGGGTTCTTACAGTGGTGATGGATTGGAAGCCGACGGCGTAATAAGCCGGGCTTATGACGGGCTGAATGGAAGCGAAAACGGAACCAGCTAGATGAACGCTGTGTGGTGGCCAGCCCTGATACCGAGCGGGTGGTTGGAAGGCCACAGACTATCTAGTACAGTCCTCAGGACTGAGTCCTCACCCCTGCGGCCGTAACATGATCAACATCCACAGTGTGGATTCCACACAGTAAATGGCGTTGAGTTAGTGCATGCGTGCAAACACATGCCCCCTGAGTAGGAATCCTGAACAGCGGAGGGACCCCCATGGCGCAAGCTGAGTATCTGGAACCTGCTACTATTGAATGAAACGGTATCGGTGTATGAGAGGTTAGCTTTAGCTCGAAGCTAGACTAATAGGAGAACTCGATAATGGGATTCCCATTACTCATACTTTATATTCGAATGAACGGTATCGTTTTACTACTCACGAGACTAATATTCGTGATCGTTCCTTCGTTGCTGATATATTTATACAACTCGACGAATGGATCAATGAATTGCCATTTGAAGCTGTTCCTCATATTCATAGGGGATGGCTTCGTATCCATAATGTTGCTGAGTCGGAGAAATTCAAGCCGATTGAATCTTTGAATAGTTTGTATGTATCATAAGTGAGTTGTCTCGAGATAGCACCTATGATAGGTGACCTATCATAATCCTTTGTATTTGCCCAATTTTTATCCTGTGGAACGACGAAAGAACCATCGAGTTGTTGTCTCTCTCGCCCAAAAAAATGCTGCCATTGAATTCGTGATGAAGTGGTGGCCTTTACCTAACCCTTAATATCGCATATTGATGATGGTGACAACGAACTTCGTTGTCATCATCATCAGTACACGATTCGATCTTCGTTGAACGAATATTATGTTTATTTAGATAATGACCTCGCTTCCCAAGTACTCTGTTTTAATCATATGCTGCCGTCTATAAGCCTTAGAGTCTAATGGATGGTAAGATAGTTGTGCAGAGCGCACATGTATGGAATCACAGCTTCAGCTCGAAGCTAGTTGATGATCTTCTGAGTCTGATTGTAGATAGAGTATTTAGATTCCAGTAACCATTGCCTAAAGTCCCCTAATGGTTAACAATTGGCCAGGGACCTCAACAGTGTTCGGAGGGTCACTCTAACTAATTTTGATCGCCATATAGTAATGAAGGATCCCTATAATGGGGACATCGCAATAGAGCCACAACCTTGATCAAATATTCTTAGTAAGGACGATTATGAACTAAACTGGTGATGCTTCAGCAACAACAGCACACTGTTACAATAGTAGTCGTGATACATTGTTATTTATACGACTGTTCTCCACATATCTTAGCAGTTCGTGTCCGCCACTTCAGTGGTCATGCTGCGTGGCACGAAGTTCGTTGCCTACGTGAATGCGCACGCGTTCCTTATTGCGCCCAGGGATTGCATTCTAGGAAACTTCTCGTGACCATGTTTGTTGCTTCCCAAGCCATTCATCCTCATACCATACCGTGTTAAGGCTCAGTAATCTGGAGAGGTTTCCACGCTTACGGATTTCGAGCTCGTGAGTTGCATCTGCGTAGTCTTCTCCCCTTCATCATATGCCAGATAGTCCCAAAACAGCTACTGAGGTAGCAAGCCCACAGAAAGGTATGGGCTGGATAAGAGCCGCTAGTACGATTGTCATGGGCTGTGTCGGAGTTGGGATCTTGGCACTTCCACGTACAGCAGCTCGCTCCGGTTGGCTTGCCGCCTTGATTGGTATAAATTTTGCCGCACTCGTGAACCTTTACAACAACATAATTTTGTGGCGTACTCTGTACCTCGCCGCCGAGGGCGAAGGCAGAGTAGTTAGGTCTTACGAAAATGTGATGCGATACACCTACGGCATCGGCGCGTCCATCTACAGCGGGTTTATCCTCCACGCCGCACTCGTTTCGGTCTGTGTCGCGATGCTTATTTTGATGGGAAACGCCACTGCGGCTATGACTCGAGTCCTCGATAGGCGTGTTTGGATTGCGCTGTGGACCCTTGTGGGTATACCTTTCTCGTGGATAAAGGAGGTTAGAGACGTTGGCTTTATCGCGGTCTTGGGTGTAACGTCTGCTTCTGCGATGGTGATTATTATTATTGTTGCATCGGCTGACAGAATGGTCACTGATGGCATACCTGCAAGCCTCGCAGTCGTGCCCAGCGATGTTGTGGAGTTTATATCATCCTTAGCCTCCTACTTTTTCGTCTACGGTTTCACCGCAACCACACCCACTATTTGCTACCATATGACTAAGCCTAGGAATTTCCCCAAAACGGTGGTGGCCGCCACCATCTTCATCACATTATTATATTCATCTGTAATGGAGCTAGGATACGTAGGTTATGGTCGATTTCTAACAACAGTCGATACAGTTGTGGATGCGATTTCTCCACCTGGACAGACACTCGACGTATTCGGGTGGCTCATCAATATTACAATTCTTGCAGTCATGTTGCCACACTATCTGGTCCTATTCACACCGACAGCCAAACAAATCGACGCAATGTGTTCCCACATCGGTGAAAGGAAGGGGTGGTCTGTTGGTCGGTGCACACTTGCGGCGCTTATTTGTCGTACTATCCTTGTAATCCTCGAAGGAGGCCTCGCCATTGTGATTCCCAAGGTCAGCAGTATTGTGAGTCTTATAGGTGCTTTTTGTGTGACCCAGATCACAACTCTTTT